TCCCCATAGTCTATAGCAGTCTCAACAATGCTAAAAGTTCAAAGTCTCTTCTAAGATTATCTAATCGCTTAACTGTGATCCCCTATACAATCAAAAAGTAGATCACATACATCCAACATTACGATAGGCATTACCATTCCAAAATGACATAGTGGGGAAATCCTGGACCAAAGCAAGACCAAAAAACCAGCTGGGCAAACTCCAAACTCTGGTTCTCCATGTCTGATGTCAAAGTACTCTTCAGATCTCCAGCTCCTTTCAGCTTTGTTGACTGCAATAGACCTTTTCTTCTTGGGCTGGTTCCACTCCCTGTTAGCAGCTCTCCTCAGCAGGTACCCCATGACTCTGGCATCTGTTAACATCTTGGGGTATCCAAGGCAATGTCTGGGATCCACACATGATCTGGGCTCCTCCAAATGGCTTGGGTCAGATCTCCAGCTCTGCCCTCTGTAGCACTCTAGGCTCTGTCTGACTCTACTCCACTGCTGCTGCTGTTCTTTGTGGCCATCCCATGGCATCTCCAATAGGCTGTGCTTTTCCGCTGCATTTGGGCTTTACAAATAGCCTCTCACGGTGTCAACAGTCTCTTCATGGTCTCGAGCCTCAACTTCTTTGTATGATCCCTTCTATCCTGGGCCATCAACTGCAATTGAGGCTGCACCTTCACCAGTGGCCTTCCCTGGCCTCTCACAGTTCCAAACCTCAGCTGCTCTCCATGACCCCTTCATGCCTTCAAAACCAGTACCAAGTCCAGCTGCAGCACGAGGTCCAACCTTGGCTATCTCTGGAACACAGCTTCTTTGTGCTCTCAGAAAACCCTTCCCAGAAGATTTCACCTCAGTGATGCTGGTTCTTCTTAATCACCACCAATTTCTTAGCTCCAGCTAACCAGTATGAATTGTCCAGAAGCCCCTTCTATTATTCACTCTAAAGCCAAAGCCACATGGCCGAAGCTGCTGAGTTCTGCTGCTTGCTGGGTCAGGAACATGGTGTAAATGGTAACATCTAGTTTGTTTGGAAAGTCAGTTATGTCAAATGATGTTTTGCTGTGGGGACACATGAAAGAATGTTTTCCTGAAACAGACACAGGTGAAGGGATGTTTTGCGATAACAGACAACTCTAGCTGCTGACAGAGATCAAGGTCACCTCCAAAGAACTATTGCTAAACAGGTCCACATCCCCTGTATCCTAATTTTCTCTTACACTGACGGAAAGAGGAGAGGTTGAACATTTATTTTTATTTATTTATTTATTTATTTATTTATTTATTTATTTATTTATTTATTTTGGTTTTTTTCGAGACAGGGTTTCTCTGTGTAGTCCTGGCTGTCCTGGAACTCACTCTGTCGACCAGGCTGGCCTCGAACTCAGAAATCCACCTGCCTCTGCCTCCCAAGTGCTGGGATTAAAGGCGTGCGCCACCACCGCTCGGCCTGAACATTTATTGAAAGTAGGTTGCAAAAAAATTATGCCTGCAGATATCAAATTCTGTATAGAAGCATTCTATGAACAAAGAGCACAGAGTTTTCCTCTGGACTATGTGTGAATTTCCCTGTGCTCTCTAAGTCCTAAAAAACTACGTCAAAATTCTAACAGCATCATCTCATCTGGGACATAACTTCCAACAGCCCTTCCTCCTTCCTCCTTCGGTTTCCAGGGAAGAATGAAGCCCTGTGAGGGGCGATTGTGCAGCACAAGGTGACACACTAGCACTCTGTCCCACAGGAAAATCTCAAAGGAAAGTTCTTCTTGTTCCTCTATCATCCCCATAACCTCCCTATGTGGGACAACTCACCTTTTCCACCATCTGAAGAAAAGGCCACGCTGAAGCCAGTCCCGGAATTCCTGACTTATATTTATGTGTCGCCAGAACCCAACAAAACTGAAGCCTTACCTATGGGCAACAAGGCCGTCTGTGATCTGGCCTTGGCTATCCTTCTGATCTCCTACCCTTCTGCCCTTTGTCTAGCCCTCTCCAGACACACAGGTTTCCTCCTGCACTGGCTGGTTTTGTGCCAACTTGACACAAGCTGGAGTTATCACAGAGAAAGGAGGTTCCCTTGAGGAAATGCCTCCATGAGATCCAGCTGTAAGGCATTTCCTCAATTAGTGATCGAGGGTGGGCGGGCCCATTGTGGGTGGTGCCATCCCTGGGCTGGGTAGTCCTGTTCTATAAGAAAGCAAGCTGAGCAAGCCAGGGGAAGCACACCAGTGAATAACATCCCTCCATGGCCTCTGCATCAGCTCCTGCTTCCTGACCTGTGTGAGTAGCAGTCCTGACTGACTTTGGTGATGAACAGTAACGTGGAAGTGTAATCTGAATAAACCCTTTCCTCCCCAACTTGCTTCTTGGTCATGATGTTTGTGCAGGAATAGAAACCCTAACACACTTACTGTTCCTCAGACACTATAGATACCACTTTCTGGTTGGTGCTTTTGCTTCTGTCTAGAACTCAGTTCTCGAAGGAATCAACATGATTCACTCCTTTTCTTTACCCCTACCTGTACCGCTGTTGCAATGACTGCTGCAAGTTTTTACCCACACAGAGTTCCTTCTGGTCACTACTTTTTTCGTTAGCCTGATACCTACTGTAGTTTTAAAGATTTGTATTAATGTGTATGATTTTACTAATTGTTAATTATTGATCAGTCTATGTCTGTGGGACTGGAACATGCATGTGAGTGCCCACAGAGGCCATCGGTGGGCATCAGATTCTCTGAAGCTGGAGTTACAGGAGATTTGTGAGACGCCTGATCTGGATATTGGGGAATGAGCCTAGGTTTTCTGGAAAAGCAGTGAGGGCTCTTACACGGCCGAGGCACGTCTCTAACCTTCATGCGGATTCATTTTTATTCTTACCATTTACCCCATGCATTTCATTTCTTGTCTTTCCACACAGCTAGCTAAGACAGCTAGGGTTTGTTTGGTTCACCAGCACATTCCAATGCTAGAACAATGCCAAACTATTGTGAATGTTCAGAAGTGTATAAACACAAGCCATGTTGTACAACCTGTGATGTACACAACGGCACATTGCATGTTGTTCACATTGTTCATGCTACCACCTCATTTAACCGGAATGGTAGCCACTGCTACCCTCATTTTACCGATAAGTAAAACTGATGTTCCAGAAAAGTTTGGTTTTTTGAGGCAGGGTTTCTCTGTGTAGCCCTGGCTGTCCTGGAACTCACTCTGTAGACCAGGCTGGCCTTGAACTCAGAAATCCACCTGCCTCTGCCTCCCAGGTGCTGGGATTAAAGGCGTGCTCCACCACTGCCCGGCACAATTTATTAATTAGAAAGAATAAGTAGGTGACTGGAGAAATGGCTCAACAGTTAAGAGCACTGTCTGTTCTTCCCAATTACCTGGGTTCAGATCCCAGCACACACATTATGACTCACAACCATCTATAACTTCAATTCTATGGGGTCCAACACACTCTTCTGGCTTCCAAGGGTACTAGGCATTTGCTGGTGGACAAACATTCAGATAAATACTCATACACATAAAATACAAAATTTTTAATTAAAACATTTTTTTTTTTTTAAAGCAAGAAGTCTAGAGCCAAAAAGGGCTTGTGTTTGAGTACTGGGTCTACCACTCATTAACCATGTGAACTTGGGCAAGTGATTTTAATATCCTCCCACCTCACAATCGCAAAATAGAGCCCAGCTCATCAACCCACGATCTCACCCATCAGAACTGCACGGTCACACTCACAGCCACCATCTCTCAACCAAATGACCATATGAGTACAGAGTGTGTTGCGGGGTGGGGAGAGAGGTCATACATAGCAGATAGACAGTTGACATGCAGTCACATATAAAGCAGAAGGACAAGGCTGGAGAGCGGCAGAAGGGAGAGCATAGAATCATGTGCAAGCTAGGGAAGAGCGGCCCCAGGGCACCCCCTGACTAGGTCTGGGGTAGCAAAGACGGAATATAGATTGTAGTAATAACTGAGGACTATCAGAGGGGAGGTGTTGACATCATGGAAGTTTGGGAGTGGCTCAGACATTGAGCTGATAAAGGCATATTAAAATATAAGGAGTCTGTGTGTGTGTTTCATTCGAAAATCCAGACTATTGGGGCAGGTAGTAAGGAACTCGTGCCTACACTGTCAGGGAGATTAACTCGGATTAATCAACTACAGCAACAATATGCACACCAGGCTGGCCTCGTGCCCACAGAGATTCACCTGCCTCTGCCTCCCAAGTGCTGAAATTCAAAGCACGAGCCACCACTCTCCATTTTTCTTTATTCTTGATTGATTTTCTATTATAAATACGATAGAAAACACAACAGAAAAAGGGTCTACTTTTAGTGTGCTTTTTTTGTTTTGTTTTTGTTTTTTGTTTTTCGAGGCAGGGTTTCTCTGTGTAGCCCTGGCTGTCCTGGAACTCACTCTGTAGTCCAGGCTGGCCTTGAACTCAGAAATCCGCCTGCCTCTGCCTCCCAAGTGCTGGGATTAAAGGCGTGCGCCACCACTGCCTGGCAGCAGCACATATTTTTAATCCCAGCATTTAGGAGGCAGATGCAGGCAGATCTCTGTTTTCCAGGCTCACTGGGTCTATATAGTGAATTCCAGTCCAGCCAGAGCAACAAAGTAAATCCTGAGAGAGAGAGAGAGAGAGAGAGAGAGAGAGAGAGAGAGAGAGAGAGAGAGAGAGAGAGGTCTAGACAAAGACTATCCACAATACCCCTTTCCCACTTGTGATTCAATAAGCAGTAGATGAAAGGCTTTATTTCATATAATTACTTCTTTTTTCCATCATGAATCCTCCAGTTTTGATAACGGTATGTGGCAGTTAAAAGTAACTTTCCTGAAGCTGGGAGAAGTGGGTTAGCAGTTCTAACACTAACACTAGCTTAGAATTCACCAGTGAGCTCTTCACAGCTCAGTGAGAGTGCCTGCCCAGCAAAACAAAGCCCTGGGTTCCAACCCTGGCAGCCCCACCCCAAAGACCCTTTCCACAGATCATAAAGAAAATTAGGAAACTTAGTATACAAACGACAACTAACAAATCTTTAATTAAACCCATAGTGTAGGCTAGGACTAGATCTCTAAGCTCTACTCATGAGTTCACCGAGTTCTCACAGCAAACGAATACATACTTTTAAATATGTAAAAGAGGAAATAAGCAACTACTGATAACATATAAGAAAAAAATCTGGAAAAACAATACTTCCCAAACTGTAATTACCTTTCTGGCATGTCATTAGGATTAGGGTTCATGAAAAGGAACAAAATAGCATACAAGGAGAAAATAAATTCAGCATTAAATGTTCTCATTTTTAGGAGGAACGGAACATCAGACATACAAATGGAAGTTTGGAGTCATGTTAATGGAGACAGCTTTTATAAATGCAAAAATTCAGAAGTAACCATAACATGAGCAATAGTCATTTAAAAGATATTAAGTACATCTTTCTAATTAGACTCCGTCTTTGCTGAAAAAGCAAGATGACTTTTTAGCATGAGGAAAGCAGATGTGGGAGGAATACAAACACCCTAACTACACATCGTCTGCTGGACTGGTTCTACCGATTTGATAGCCGTCATCTATAATCAACACAGTCACGCTTCATCTTCATGTGGCTGAGCTTCGGACTTTCTGGTTTTCTCTTTTTTCTCACAAGCTCATGAGACACAGCATTGCGACCTGCGCCGCCGCAGACCCCACGCCGGAGCTCCACGAGGAACTTAGCTCACACAACTAAAACACCGTGCTGTTAGCCCAAGCATCAGAAACACAGTTTAAACACAAAAGATAGACCTAAAAATATGAGCAAACATAAACAACAGTATGGCAAACCTCCAAGCAAGGGGGGAGAAAACCTAAAAGGCAGCTAGCATTGGTGTGGGAGGAAGACAATACATGTGGGCTTGGAACTCATAACCTACAGTCAAATAATTCAGATGCAAATGTAAATATCTAGTCAAACAGTGTCAGAGAGTGTAACCCTCAAGCATGGACTATTAGTCATTGGTATGAGTTTCCTGATGGCGAGCGAGGTCTGATTCATTACTAAATGTCTCCCCACATTCATCACAGCTACAGGGCTTGTCCTCACGATGAGTTCTCAGATGTCGTGTAAGGTTTGAGCACTTATTAAAGGCCTTTCCACACTTATTACATTCATACGGTTTTTCATCTGAGTGGACTCTCTGATGTTGAAAAAGCTGTGAGTTCTGGGTGAAGGCCTTCCCACACTCAAGGCATTCAAAAGGTTTCTCGCCAGCATGAATCCTTTGATGTTGCCGAAGCTGTGAGCTCTGCGTGAAGGCTTTCCCGCACTCCTTGCACTCGTAGGGCTTCTCCCCAGTGTGGATTCTCTGATGATTGGTAAGGGCTGAGCCACTACTGAAGGCTTTCCCACACTCCTTGCACTCGTAGGGTTTCTCCCCAGTGTGGATTCTCTGGTGCTGAACAAGCTTGGAGCTCTGAGTGAAGGCTTTGCCACATTCCTTACACTCGTATGGCTTCTCGCCTGTATGAACTCGCACGTGCTGAAACAGTTGTGAGCTCTTTGTAAACGCCTTCCCACACACTTTGCACGCATAGGGCTTCTCGCCGGTGTGGATTCGCTGATGGTCGATCAGATTGGAGCAGTAGCTGAAGGCTTTCCCGCACTGCTTACACTCGTAAGGTTTCTTACCCGTGTGGATCCTCTGATGCTGAGAAAGGTAAGAGCTACAGCTAAAGGCCTTTCCACAATCTTTGCATTCAAAGGGTTTCTCACCAGTGTGGATTTTCAGATGGCGAGTAACATGTGACCCACAACTGAAGAACTTCCCACACTCTTTACATTCGTAAGACTTCTCACCAATGTGATTTCTTTGATGTTGAATAAACTGTGAGTTCTGGGTAAAGACCTTTCTACATTTCTTGCATTCATAGGGTTTCTCATCAGTATTAATGATTTGACGTAGGGTAAAGAAAGTCTGCTGAACAAACGTGGGCATGTATTCACCAGTCAGTAACTCTTGGCTTCCATGTCCATTCTGAAATTGGCTTCCGCCGTCCAGAACGTCTCTATAACTGGAGTACTCGAGGCCTTGCTTTGAAAGTCTCATTAACTCCCTCTGGCAGGATTCTATCTCATAAACTTCCTTCTTTAGAGATAACAACTTGCTTTCACACATTGACTCCAGAGCTGAAAGAAAGGAAAAATAGCAAATATTCTTTTCCTCTCTTGTTTGGAAAAACTTAAACTTTCATACTGGAAATGAAAAAGCGAAAGTGAAGACACTGTCTAGTCAGTAAGTTACACAGGCTCACGGAGATCTAAAATGGGAACGACAGAGACAGGGAGACTAACCGTGGAAGAGAAGAGACGGCCTCGCTATCCAGCCCTATTGGCCATGAACTCAAGAGATCCTTTGGCTCCCAAGTGGGAGGATTAAAGGACCGTCTCCTGAGACAAGGTCTTATTATCTAACTCTGCCTGGTTTTGAACTCTGGATCATCTTGCCCCAGTCTCTCCAGTTGCTAGGATTATGAACATACACTGCCCATTGTCCTGGTTTTCTGCCATGGAACTCGAGATTCTCTGAATCACAGCAGTATGCTGGTGTTGTTACTGAGGCAATTCATGATGGGCCGTGAAGAGCCTCAGGACTGGTTCTGGAAAGATGGCCCAGGGGTTGAGAATGTGTGCTGCTACTGCAAAGGACTGTGGTTAAGTTCCCAGTGCCCAGACAGCTGCTTACAGATACCTGTAACTCTACTTCCAGAGGATTTTATGAAGTCTTCTGACAGCGGGCACCAGTCCACAACTGGTGGTGCATACACACCGCACACACTCAGGGTCATGAATATAAAATACCACATCTGGTGCACACATACCACACACACCCAGCCCCAAACATATAAAATAATATATCTTTAAAAGAAAAAAAAAAAAAGTTTTCTTTTTCACCAGAGGGTGAATCAGGCTGTTAGAAGGTTGGGATTTCAGGTATCTGACTTCTGGAGAACAAGGGAAAGACTGAAAACCAGTTAGATAACTGTACCCGTGTAAAAACAAAACCAAGCTAGATGACCTGAGTCTGACCCCCTGGACCAACACCATGCACCGAGAGAACGAACTTTCACAGTTGTCCTTTGACCCCCACACACTCACCCCATACAATAAATAAATAAATGAAACTAAAAACAACAACAAAAGAGCTTTTTTTAAAAAAATGAACTTGCTTTTCTGACTTAGACCAAAGTTTTTGGCAGAAGCTTACAAAATAACAACCAAGGAGCTGGAGAGATGGCTCAGGTGTTAGCGTTGCCTACTCTTCCAGAGGTCATTTCCCAAAACCACATGGTGACTCACAACCGTCTGTAATGGGATTTGATGCCCTCTTCTGGCACATGCAGGTGTACAGGCACACAGAGCACTTGCGCATACATAAAATAAATAAATAAATACTCTTTCAAACAAAGTAAGACCGGAAGGTGCGGTTTCCCGGATCACCAGCGAGCTGTCCCTGCGGGCCACGCCCTGCTCAGCCTCTCACTTACCCGAGCACAGGCCTCTTGTAAGCTCTTTACCAATCATCCAGGGCTCTTTGCCTTGCTCCAATAAAGAGATCACCTGAGGCTTGGGAATGTGAAGTCCTGCTTACGAGAAAAGATATGGAACATAGTTACGCTGTGGGAAACAGATGCAATCCCTCGATCACCAAGCAAGAGACGCCAAGACAGGAACAGCCAAGGACGAGGAAGCAGCTTCAGGCCCAGCCCGCTGGAGCCGCCTGGTTCCCAGGCTTCTTTTTCAGCCCAGCTGAAACCATTTATTTGCAAACAAGGAGCAGGAATTCAGGTGGCAAACTTGAAAGGCAGCTGAGAAACTTCTTGAGGAAGAAGCAGACACTCCAGAGATGGCTGCACTGTAGGTACAGGTGCCCTTACCCACTGACAGCAGGTTGTGGTAGTTCTCCAGCATTACATCTCTGTACAAGTCTCTCTGTGCAGGGCCTAGACACTCCCACTCCTCCTGAGAGAAGTCCAGAGACACGTCACTGAACACCACTGGTTTCTGAAACAAATAAACACACCCAGGCGTCTAACACAAAAAGCACTTCCAAAATGCTGGTGCTTGTGTTGTTGGGCTGAGCAAATGAGCCACTACATGATGTGACCAAGACCCAGAACCTCTGGATTGTCTGTTCATTAAGAAACAGGGCACAAAGCCAGGCATGGTGCTGCCCAACCATAATCCCAGCACCAGGGAGGGTAAGGCAAGAGGATTCAGCTGGAGCTGCGTTGTCAGCCCAGGTTTGCATAGTGAGTTCAAGACCAGCCTTAGCTATATAGAGTGATCAAGTCACAAAGCATGTGCATAAGGCCCGGGTTTCAAACACCAAAACAATAATTCATTTCTTGTTAATACAAATTATTTTTCTGGTGGCCAATGTTTTGATTTTTTGACTGTACAATCTCAACAGCTTATACACACTGGTCAAACTTATAAGAATCACCCATTATCATTCTTGTCCCTATCTGAAATAAGTAAAACTTATTTTCATATAGAAAATCAGCATCACCCACATTTCCTATTGATGTCAACTGTTTCATAAATGCCACCAGAGTCTCAGAGATCTGCGCTTACCAGTCTCAAAGCCTCATAAGGTAACAAACCTCTCAACCTTTGAAAACACCAACCCCGCCTCCTGTCCCCTATCACTGGAAGCTGCTGGTTTATAGACATGATTTTGGCTTCTCCACGTGTCTTTCCAGCTAAGTGACTCATACTGCCACCTCATCAGATGACAGCCCAGGCAGGACACGTTTATTCCAGAATCCTACACTCACTCCCCTGGGCACATAATCCCCTGTCTATCACGGTGCCTGGGAAAAGGCCAAGAAAAGATTATCAGTTATTTGCTGAATGAAAATACTAGCGTTGCTTGAAAATGAAGGGCACTGAGGGATGATGGAGGATTAGCTGGCATGAGTCAGTGGGGACCAAGTTCCTGACAGGAATCCTTATCACCCACACACGTCAGCACTGGAAAGCAAATGCAGCCTCCTGAATGGCTGGGCCACAATATGCACACCACTGTACCTGGACAAAGTAACGGAATGCCAGGGATGTAAGACACACCAGTGACCTCGGCCATGGTTTTAAGTACTGTAGGACAAGGCCAATCTTATTCAAGACTGTTCTCCTGGAGAGACGGAGGGTTCTGAGAAAGTAAGACTGGGTAAGGAAAGAAATACCCTAGAAACTACACTAGCCTCACCATGAATGCTTACAGCAGTCACATGAAAACTGTTTTTCTTGTTAGAACTCTAGTGAGTGAGAATATGGAACAAATATTACCTATACTTTCTGTGATACTTGAAACGGGACCATGCTGGAACTTGTTATGTACACCAGGCTGGCCTTGAACTCAGAGATTGTCTGCCTCTGCCTCCCAAGTGCTAGAATTAAGGTATGCAATCCTGTGCAGCTATTTTATTAAGTATTCCCTTCATCTCTAGGGAAGCTTCCTGTCTTGATGTGTACTCTCACACACTGCAGCTGGAAATACAGATTGATAAAACCACTTTGGGAGGTCAGCATCGATTCAGTGGAATGCACGTATAACTTACGGGCTAGCAATTTTACTACCAGGGATTTACATAAAACAAAAGACCTACTGCGTATGCGTACTGAAAGACACAAAATGTGCTCTTCGTAATCGCCCAACATTGAAAACAACTCAAATGACAATAATGACATAAGCTGTGCCATCGTCCTCACTTTTAAAAAATGTATTTTCTGATATGGGGTCTTGCAGACAGTGAATACTGGCTTGGAACTCACTCTGTAGCCCAGGTTGGCCTCAATCTTACACTCCTGTTGCCTCAGCCTCCTGAGTACTGAGATTACAGCTGCCACCTTATCTGACTTCTTACAATGACAATGTAAAGGACAACAGTAAATGAATAACTCTCAACTACATATGGCAACATGGGTGAATCTCCTATCGTTCATAACATATACTATTAAATAACGCCTTCAAGAAAAGTAAAATATTAATACCCAGCAAAAGGAACCAACAAGGGCTGGAGAGATGGCTCAGTGGTTAAGAGCACTGACTGCTCTTCCAAAGGTTCTGAGTTCGATTCCCGGCAACCACATGGTGGCTCACAGCCATCTGTAATGAGATCTGATGTACTCTTCTGGTGTGTCTGAAGACAGCAACAGTGTACTCACATACATAAAATAAATAATAAAATAAAAAAAAAATAAAAAGAACCAACAAAAAGGATAGACATTTTGTGATTCTGTGTATATAAAATACGATACAAGCAAAAATTAATCTATGGATACAGAAGACAAAATAAACATTATAACACTTAGGCAGCCCTCCCCTCCAGAAGGCAGAGGCTGATTAACATTCCTCAGACCACAGGGGGTGGGGACTGACCTGGGGAGGGGAGGCTCCCCGAAGAGCACATGGACAACAGACCAGGTCCTTGCCACCTCATTCCCTGAAGACCAATCAGTTTAAAAAGTCACACTGTTCTGCCAATCATATTGTGCCCAATGGCTGCTGCCCTCAGGACTGTATAAAAGCTCACTGACCGAGCAGCGTGGGGTCGACTCTCCTATTGGGATGCAGGGTGGCCCCAGCACGCTGGAACGTTAAGATTCTTCCTGCTTTTTGCAGATTCTTTCTCCACGTGGTTCACTCACGGGGTCTCCGGCTAGCTAAGGCTCTTCTCGCTAGACTCTTACCATACCACTTAAATTACATTTGTTTAATTGTGCATGAACGGAGGTCAGAGGACAACCCGTGAGGTGCCAGTTTTCTCATTCCAACATGCAGGTCACAGGGATTGAACC